CCACCCCCAGGTGCCCCAGGACCAGCACTAGCCTGGTTATACTGTACATGCCCACCCCACAAGCTGGACAGATGCCTCGCCTTTCCTGGCAAGTGCAGACTCGCCGCCTCTCTTCCCAGAACCTCCCCTGCTCATCCCTGCACACAGCAGTGCCAGTTGGGACCTTCTGGGAGGATGGAAACGTTCTGCACCTGCCCTGGTCAGCAAGGCAGCCACGTGTGGCTGTGCCTTTGAGAGCCTGTGATCCGGCTAGTGTGCGTATGGATAAAATTAGATAAGCTCAATCTTATCTAATCTGAATGGATTTAAATCTAGCCAGCCAATCCCCGACCTTCAGCTGAGACAGGGCCATGGCTTTTCTGCCTTGCTCTCCACCGGTTTGTCAGCACCTAGAACAGTGCCTGACAGTATATTCGCTGAAAAATAAATTGCTAGGAGAATAAACAAATTCTACTTCCCCTACAAAAGCAGAAGTGACCACTTCCCTGCCCCCTCAGCCATCCAGAGGTGAATTCTCACACCATCAGGATCCTCCCCTTGCTCTGCTGAAGCCTGCAAGTCTTCGGCAACAGGGTCTGTGCTGGCTGCCTTACGCAGCAGGGCGGTTAGCATCTGTGAATGATGCTGGAGCCATAAGCGGGTGGCGGAGGGGGTTCACCCCATCTGTGCAAAGCCCCACTAGCTCTGGTGAGCAGGGTGTGGGAGCAGTCAGCTTAGAAGGAAAGGTTCTAAGTTTCTTGCCTCAGTAGTCAGTGTTACTGCTGCTTAGGGACCTTGAAGGGACATCCATGGTGACTCTTCCCTCGCTACACTTTGAGGGCGGGAGACAGGCGGGAAGTTGTGCAGGTGGGCCTCCAGGCCACAGAGGAGGAACAACGCTGCTTTTCCTCCTCAGAGATACACAAGCTCAAAAAGCAAAGCTGAATGGCTCCAGCAGGTTGTACCTACAGTCCCAGCTGCTCAGGATGCCGAAGCTCATCTAGGCCCAGGAGCTGAAGGCAAGCCGGGCAACAACACTGCCTCCCACAACAAGAATCAGAAGGACTCACTGGATCTCAGAGGTGACAGCCCACTGAAGGATGGCACTGTCACTGCCACCACCACTGTGCACTGTGAAGGTGCCTCGGTTTCTCCTCGGGTGGGGCTGTGCATGTCAGCTTAGCCCCACCTCCTCACATGCTGGCTTTGGGGCTTCCTCTTAGTACACTCGTGGGCCACACACTTCCACGGTGGACTGGCCACTGCTGTTTTGTGGCCTGGAAGCCTCCCACCCCAACTGGCTCTCCTTTAAGGCAACTGAGGAGACACCAGAGCCCATCTTCTTGCAGACAGGGCCCTGGAATCTTCAAGCAGCCTGTAACTCACGCTGCTCCTGGCTCACAGATGACAGCATTTCAAGCCGTTAGGCCTGGAGCCGGGGTAATTGTAGCTGGGGGAAAAATCATAACATTACCCAGAATATTCTTAGTGGAAGGGGCATTCAGAACACATTTAAGAGCTTAAATGGAGGCCATTTGAGAAAAGACAGATGGACAGGAACGCTTAGATTTCAAAAGTCAGGCCTTTCATTTTCCCCTGAGAAAGCTTTTTGTTTCAGCTAACAGGTTTCAAACAGCGCTGCTGGCAGCAATCACACCATAAGGATCTTATTTAAGCAAACGATCAAACATAGGATAGAAATGTGTGGGGAAAATCAGAAGACCTTGAAGTTTCATACTAAGGAGAAAGAGAGAGAGGAAAAGACCAGGGCTGCCTTGACACACACACACACACTCTTCTACAATGAGGCTCGGATCCCTAGAGCCCTGGCACCACTGGAGCAGGGGCAGGGTCCACAGGGCGCCCTGGAGGCCACCAGGTCCCAGGGGAGCATGGCCTGGGCATGGCCCCCATCCCCTCTTTCCTCTGGTTCCCCTACACAGCTGCCTTACCTGGAGCTCTCTAGTGAAAAAAAGAAAAAGAACTTCACTGCCTTTTCTCTCCTAAAGCGGTCTACCCACTTCCCAGGTCGCTCCAGAAGGACCAAGCCTAGACACCATGCTGTGAACTCCCTCTGCCCCAGGGCTACGTCACAAGCACTGTGTGGGGACACTCGTGGCCCATCTCCAGCCCAGCTTTCTCTCTGGAGGCCCAGGTTGTGGGCATGAATCCATTTGGCAGCCCCTCTTTGGTCTAACGGGCAACTCAAGCGTAACACAGCCCAAAGCACGTCCTTCCTCAGTCTCCGTCCCCTGCCAACAGTTCCAGCCGCCCGGACCTTCACCTTCTCTCCCACACTCTGCCCATCTGTATACCAGCCAGCAAGCATCCTTCGCAGCACACCTCTGCTCCCCATCTCTACTCCAGCCCTGCCTGGATTGTACTATCACACTTTCTACCTAACTTCAATCTCCCGTCATGAAAGGCCATTAGCCTAAAACACTGGCCTGGCCTTTTAAAAAGTCAGCAATTAAGCCATTAGGTCTGTGCTACTTAGCTTTACATGCACTGTTTCTTTTACTCCTCCCATTCAGCACACGCCTGGCCTTCAAGACCCCGTGAGCCCTCCCCTGCACACCTCCCACTCCTCTCCCACCCTCACTGCCACCTTCACCCTGGTTCTGAGGCTCAGCGCCAGCACTCATCTCCACCCAGGGCCTTGGTGTACCGAGAGCTCTTCTCCTGGACTGTGTGTCACTGAATGTCTTCAGCCTACAGTCACGTGTGCAGGGGAGCCCTGTCTGTGCGCCCACCCTGTCTCTGCTCTGTGTCCTGTTTTTTCCAGCAATGTTTTTATGATCTACATCATTTATGCCTGTGTTTGCTGCCTGTCTCGCTTCTTCATGGGGATGCAGGCTCCATGGAAAAGAGGCTGAGAGCAGTGGCCAGTAGGCCAAACACACTTATGCAAAGATGCAGAGACAGTGGGTGATGCATCGCAGTCCCACTGCTACCGGGGCAGTGCTGTCTGCAGCCCACACTGGCTGACTCCAAGTGATTCCTCCTGCTTCTGCTGTCCATATCCCCAGGGCCCTGTCCAGCGAAGCATCAAGCAGAAGCTTCAGGCCTGAGCCCGAGGGGGTATGTCCTCTAATACACCTCTATCACACCAGTTCTCCACCATTCTTCACAGTGGTGAGCAGCAAGTTGCTCAGGGATTCCCACTCTTAGGAATAACCTCCATCCACCCTTAAAAACCTGCCTCAGATATTAGCTCCTTCAGGAAGTCCTCTTCCCTTCAACCCCAAGCCCTGGACTGTTGTGCACTGGCTGCCCAGGTCACGCGACCGTTCCATAATGAATGTGTCAGGGCAGGGGCCAGTGTTGGCTTGGCTGTTGACAACCCTCATCCTGGTGACGGACAGAGAAGAGAGAGAGGTGTGCACCTGATAGAGCTGCAGCCTGCATCCTTCAGCCAGAGCCGCTGAGCCCAGGACCCCCATCACCTGCATACCCTGGACCTTGCTCTGGGCAGGACCCATGCAGCAGCTGTTTTGGTAACAATGTTCCCCTCCCACGTTGAGAATATTCTACCTCTAATGCTATGGCATTGCCTACTGGTTGACAGGATGAACAGCTATAGGGAGAAGAGGCAGGAGACAGGAAGAGGACAGAAGGACAAATGGAAAGCCAGGCAGGTGGGGTGCTGGCCTGTCAAAGTCCAGAGGTGCTTGGGCTGCAGGAAGGGCAGATCGGCTGACACCATGCCGCTCCTGGGTAGAGCTCACCTATAAGAGTCCCCATCTCTGTTGTAGTCACACAAAAGGTAATCCTTGCCCACCATCTTGTCTCTGGCAATTTTCAGTGGCTGGTCAACAGAAGACAGGAGATCTTCACACAGACTGGGGACCTGGAGGGAACAAAGGAACACGTGGAGACAGTGGTTAAAATAACACCTTGAATCCAGGTCAGTGAGTGACTTCTGTAGTCATCTTGTGGTCAGCAGATTTAACACCTGGCCCTTAGTGCCCAGTCAAAATTACAGACCTGTTCTTTTCTTTTCCACATGTGCCTGACACCAACTATGTCCTTCTGTAAAGAAATCTGTTCTTGAATTACAGTGGAGCGTGATTTCTAACACGCTCTTCCTTCCAAAACCTGTGTGCGGGCCCCCATCACCTGATCACCAGGGTGGTCTAGCAAATGCAAGGATGTATATGCTGCTATTGGCCTCTGGGGGGCAGGCAAAGGACAGCCAGCCTGAAGTCCTGAGAAGAAGGTAAACACTGCAAATACACAGGAATCCAAAGAACTCAGAGAAGAATAACCCATCCGTGCTGGAGAACTCCCACAGGCTCCTGTGCTGGGTGGAGTTTCCAACACTTTCCAGGCCCCCTGCCAAGCATGACCAGGCCAGCTCCTGTAGTCAGGTCAGTGCTATCTGCTGTGGAGGTGGTTCTGTGCTGCTCTTCCCCAGCACGGTCGAGCCTGGGCAGTCTCACTGAGGAAGACTGCCTCACAGTCAGGGACGGGCAAGACCGGTGCTCGGGGCAAATGCTGTTGAACCTGAGCAAGCCCTGCTTGTGAAAAGGCTGCCTCTCTCTACCTCAAACACCAGTTTCTACCAAAAAATTCCAGGAAGAGATGGCAGCACTTTCAGAAATAGATTCTTTTGGCCATGCGTCACTTCCACGCTGCATTTCCATGCGCTGACTTGTTTCATGATCTGGGTTTATGGGGGCCCCACCATATAGTTTACCAGGCAGGTGGCTGCCAACTGCAAAAATAACTCTTCCCAGTAGAAAAGTGAAACTGAGACAAAGACAACCAGTAGAGGTGCTGACAGTAACAGAGGGTCCTGTGTTCCTCCTGTAGGCCCCCACTAGCATCTGCAGACAGGGACAAAGCGCACCCACCAGAGATGGCTAGCCTCTGTGGGTGTCGCGGGCACCCAGCCCCCGTCCCTCACCTGTGTGCTTTAGAACTCAGCTTGCAAGGCCCCAGGCAGCACAACTGGAGGAGGAAGCCCGTCTGTAGCACATGGAAATTCTGCCCTCCGTGAGAAGGTCTGTCTCTCGCACACACAGCAGCCCCCAAGGAGATGCACACACCATGAGCCCAGGCTCCATGTGCACTGGGCCTCCCCCCAGCAAGCAAATCAATGGGGGTTAATTTCTAAAGTCACTTGCTACCACTTCCAAGCGCCTGTGGTGGATCACGCAGCATGCTGGGGGCCCCTGGTGGACGGCACATTATTTACCTGAAAATCCACATGCCTGCTGGAAGGTGGGCACGTATTGTTCACTGTACTGATTACAGGGTTGGGGCCAGTCATTAAGTTGTCCAATGGCTGTATGAACGGTAGGGATGTAATCAAAGCCAGGGCTAGGAGGCTCTGAAACCCCTGCTCTTCTTAGCTGACAGTAACTGATTTATGGGACTAGCAAAGGCACACACAGCAGACAAACAGCCAGCCCCTCCTGGCCCCACTGCTGTCCAGCGATGGCCACAGAGCCTCTTGTCAGCCGAGTCTGCCCTGAGGAAAGGAGGGTCTAAGAGCCTTCATGCGAGGCAGCTGGGTCAGCAGTGAAGCCAAGGACCGGAGAAATGCCCTGAGCACCTCTCTGCCCACTCTCGCTGCAGCCCATCTGCAAGGCTCTCCACGTGGGTTAGTTGATACATTGTGTGAACTTGGCTGAATCAGCTCCGGAAGATCTCAGCATGGGGTCCTCGCCCTGCAGGTGGGCAGGGCCCAGGAATTGAGAAAGGCAGGAAGCCCCCCTGCCTGGTTTCCTGCTGCCCCGCCCTGCTTCCGTGGAGAAGTCCCAGTCTTCCGAGGAGCTTGACCTTCGCAGCCGCACTACTTTGGAAGAGCTGCGGTCTTCACTGTGGAGGGCCGGTCCTCGCAGTCAGCGCAGAAGGAAGAGAGAGGCCTGATGGACGCCGCCGCCGCAGCAGCTGCTCCTCCTCTGCTCTTCATTGTTTTCAGCCGCATGAACTGCTGTTGTTTGCCTTGGAGCCAGCGGAATTTGGACTGAGCCCTCCAGTAACTGTGAGCTAAATCTTTGCTTCCTTCACCCTGAGTGTCCGGTATTTGTCCCAGCAAAGAGTAGAAAGTAACTAAGACACCATACATCCCCGGGCAGATTGCCGCGTTCACCAGCTCCCTTTGTTCCATCGATGTAAGCCCCTCACGTTAGACTTCCTGACTCCACCCTCTGAAGGACACCTTCCAGTCCTGGGCAAGTCACTTTACTTGTCTACTAAGACCTGGCTTCCTTACCTTTCTGTAAGGAGCCACTAATAAAAATGCACTGGGGGTAGTGTGAGGCTCACCCAAGAGCACGAAAGCACACCTCAGCACTGGACTTGGTCACCTCCCTGCCCTCGGTCACCTCCCTGCCCTCCTCCTCTGGATCCCACGCCCTCCGCTGTCTGCCACTCTCCAGGGACAACTACCAGCCCTCCTCATGCTTCAGTTCACCAGCTGCTGCAGGCACTGGACACAAATGGATCCAGTTCTTTCTAACCCAGTTCTGCCCAAGGCCAGCTGTTCCCTTCTCCCCCAGCCAGCCACACTGACAAGAGAATGGGGTTTGGTAGTCAAGTCTCCAACTTCACTCTTACTCAAGAGGTTATAAAGAGTATTTCCATACTCTCTCCCTAGCACTTATACTAACTGAAGCTATTTGTCCGTTGGCAGTAGGAGAGAAGGAAGGTGAGGGGTACTGAGGAAGGAAGGAGCTTTTGCCACACAAGACCTCCCAACTTCCGATTGACTTTATCATTTTTTAGGGAGCAAGGGTTAGCTGAGGAGTGAACACAGGGTCTTTGCACAGAGCTACATTCCCTAGTCCTATTTATTTTTTGAGACATGGTCTTACTAAGTCACTAATGTGCTCACAGTAGGCTCCCCCTCCTGCCTCGGTCTACCACAGCGTTGAGATTACTGGCATATAATATCATGTCCAGCTCTGCTTTATGTTGTATATTTGGTCTTTTGAGATAGGGTCTTGCTATGCAGTTCACTTTGGCCACAGCACTCCTCCTGCCTGAGCCTCCTGAATGCTGGGATTACAGAAGTATGCCACCACCCCTATCTAGCTTTATCTTTAAATTAACAAATCAATGTTTAACAAGAATTTTTACCAAAAGAATCAAATTTTGATGGATTGCAATAACCAATTCCACCTGAGGTTCCAACTTGCTGCTCAAAACAAACCCTGATGTGGTAGGAAAGCACCCAGAGGAGCGCTGGAGTGGTCACTGAAACGCTGTGCATGTGTGCTGATGTGTGTGTTTTAAAAAGCTGGTGTTTCCCTGGGGTTGCTCAGGCTGGCCCCAACCTTTTGGGTTCCAGTGATCTTGTCTCAGCCTCTTGACTAGCTGGTCATGCCATGTGCACATGCCATGTGCCCAGCTTGGCCACTGGGCTTTTACAGGTACAATGTGGAGGAGCCACAGAAATGGCCAAAGAGCCAACTGAGAACGAGATCTTGGGCCTTGGCTTCCGTTCTCCTTACGAACAGCTGGTAAGCCATAGCAGACAAAAACCACTCTTGAAGACCTGAACCAGGACTTTTGAAAGCCATAGCCAGGCCTGGCCAATCTCTGAAAAGCATACATTTAAACCAAATCCCCCAGCCTGTGGTTGTCCATGGAGAAAACTCTGAAGAGTTCATGAACCGCGTATGATCTACTCCGCTATGAAAAGCATCCGGTGTGGCATACAGACTGTGGGTTCTCCACACACACGTGCAACTCTTGCCTTCAAGGTAAACTCTCACGTTGGGCCATATTTTCATATTCTAGTGCCATCAGTCTCACTTCTTTTGATCGAAAAGAATCTCTTGTGGAATACTGCTGCTACTGTCACAGGGAGAAAGTGCACCAGGAGGTGTGCCAGGGTGGCCACCCAAAGGTGCACCTGGCGCGAGCCTTCGCCATCTCCTCCCTGTGCCTGCTCACTGCCCCTGCCAGATGGTTTGTGTATGTGTTTTCTACTTTAAGTCTCTCCATTTAGGAATCCTGCATAAACCTCAGGATGGTCAGTGAAATCTGAATTTCAGATACCCGATTAAGAATATTTCAGTATGACTACGCCAGGTGTTACCCAGGATATGTGTTTTTATTTGCTAAATCTGTCAGCCTATCCTCAGTCCCTGCGGAAAGCCACCCATCCTCCAGAAGCAGCCCAGACTCCAACTTCTCCCTGGGATTCCTGCGGTAACACTGGTGTCACTGAATCCTGCATCGGGAGGCTGCTTTAGTACTGCTTTTGGCTGTCATTCTTCTCCTTCCAGCACGTGTTGACCCTGCTGCGCCTACAGAAGCTAACAAAGGTTCCCTGGATTGGCACAGAGTCCCATTCACTGTCACAGGTGTCCAGTCCATGTTGGAATCCCATGGGAGGAGTATTAATCACATGGTGTGAGGTTATAGGAGAAAACCAGAAAAATGAATTTATCTCTGCAACCGAGACAGTTATTGAACAATTCTTCCCCCTCCAGTCCCAGGGAGCCTCATGGGTCATTAGCTTGCACAGGCACTGAGTGTAGAGGACAGGTCCAAACAAAGCCAGAATTCACTCTGGGGTATGTGGGGTACTGGCTTTGCTGCCTGCGAACAGGAGAGGACCTCAGGCAGGGAGAGGTGCTAAGACCAATGGCCAATGGTTTCTCTCTAAACCACCCATCTGAACTGCTTCCCAGCCTTGGTATGGAATGTTGAGGTAACACCATAGCTGCCAGCCAGTTCAGGGTGTTGGGGGTATGGCTGATGGTTAGACTTAAATCCCAGTGACTTGGAACAGTAAGTCACACTTCGTTGGCCAAGACTATGCCTGCCGTCTTCCGGTGAGGAGACTTAGGCTTCTGCGAACCATCACACAGGAACATCGCAATATCACAG